ACCTGGGCACACGGAAGCTGCACAGCCGGTGGCTTGACCCTGCGAGAGGCCCCCCCCTCCGCCTCTGTGGGTGGGACAGGCACCAGCAAAGTCCCCCTGTGCCATACCTCCAGCCCCCTTTGCCCCTGGCTCTGCGGGCCCTTAAATCTGGCTCTCCTGGTGCCTCTTGCTCCCACCCCATAGCCCAAGGGCCCCCAGACTTCTGCACCCCCAAGCACCTGAGCAACCCTATTCCTCCTCTGCAGCACCAGAGAGGCTGGGGCAGCCTGGAGCAGGGGCAGGAGGGGGGCACTGCCCAGCTGCACCCCACACTTTTGTCTTTACTCCCTTAGCTGAGTGGGTGGGGTGTTCACAGCACTGGAGGGTCAGGAGCCCTTATGCTGATCCCTGGGTGGGGAAAGGCAATGCGAACAGCCCTGGTGTGGTTCCCTGTATCCAAGGGGTGCAGCCTGGACATGGGGACAGCCCCAGAGGCAGGATGCTGGCTCTCGCTCAGCTGGCATGGGTGCCAGAGCAAGAGCCTGCACTCCTAGGCCCCCCAGCTGTGCCTAGGGGCAGAGAGAAGCAGGGGACTGAGCCAGAGGCTGTGGAGGGCACCATGCTGTGCCATGCCGTGGGGGACCACGCAGCACAGCTCAGGGTCTAGCCAGGCTGTGAGGCCAGAGACGGTGTGACAAACAGCCAGAGGCAGTACCTGCCTCCTGCCCTCATTATATCCCCCTAACAAGCTCAGCACTGAGCCCTGGGGCCCAGCTGGACTCAGAGCTGGTCATTACTGCTGACAAGGACCTGTCAAAGTGGGAGATGTGGTGTGTGCCCCCCCTATGCACGGCACAGCCAGTGGGGGCATGGTGGGGGGGGGGGCACCACAGAGCTGGGGACACCTACCCCCTAAACCTCGCCAGCTCCCCTTGGGCCCTTCCCTCCAAGCCAAGCAGGAAAATAAGTGTCCCCCCACCAGGTCCAGGTGCAGGACAGGTCCCCTCTCCTTGCCCATGCTGCTGCCTGGGGACATGGTGAGACTCAAGGTGTAGGGAGCTGCGTAGGGACCCTGGGCCCCCCCCGGCAGCACTGCCTCGGGCCAAAGGGAGACTTGGGGAAGGAAGGAAGGGGCACAAGGAGAGAGTGCAGGCAGCCCCGGGGAGAGAGTCATTGGGCCAGGTGTGAGACAGGGATGGCAGGGCACTGATCCAGGGTGGAAAGGAGCTCTGGACAGGAGGGCAGGGCTGTGGGATGGGACCACTGCTAAGCCCTGGATTTCCCCCTCCAAGCTTCTCTCCCAGGATCTGCCTGGAGTGGGAGAGCTGGAGGAGGATGATGAGCACAGCCCCCTGCTGCTCGAATCCCCCAGCAGAGCTGCTCCTTCCCGGGAGCACCCTGGCACAGATAAGGAGCCCGATGATCCCCAGGGCACATTTAATCTGGGACAGGACAGTTATTGGATAAATACCATGAATATGTAAATTGCATTTATGCTGATTTATGGCTGGGGGGGCAGGTGGGGAGCAGAGATGGTTTAGTTTAGTTTAATGCATTTATTTCCCTGCCTCGAGATGGAGAACAATCTCTGAGCTCTGCATCTGCCAAGCCAGAGGAGGCGATTCAGGCAGAGCCGTGCAGATGGGAGCACCCCAGGGCCAGGCGGGATGTGAGGGGCCTCACCTGTGGGGACGAGAGGTGGGCAGGCCATGGGGTACAGCACCCAGACACCTCCACCTCCCATCGCACTCCCTGGGGCTCACTGTCCTCACATGCACCCCAGAAGGGGTGCGCAGGAGGCAGGTGCCTCCATCCCCTCCATGCCAGTGCTGCTCTCCTGGGATGATGTATGGATCCGGCACAAGACCAGTGGTATTTCAATTAATTTCTGGGCCTTGCAAAGACTCCTGACCTTTCACAAGAGGCAGAGAGAAATTGAGGTGATTAATCTGGCAGGTCAGGGTGGCTCCTCCACTCTGACACTCCCTGTATGTTACGTGGGGTGGGTGGCAGACCCCTTTGCATAAACCAGCTGCAGAGGATTTAGCAGTGAGATGCCGGCAGAGTCACAGCCCCTCTCTGCAAACAGCTGGGTCACAACCAGGCTATGGGCACCAGGAACAGAAAAAACATGAGCAAGACCAAAGCCTAAACTCCTGCTCAGCAGCCTCTGAGCGCATGTTCCCCTGAGCACACACACCCGTGCCCACACCAAGTGAGCGTGCAGCAGGCAGCCCTCATGGCTGCACAGAAGCAGACACGGCCACCCAGCACCACCCATTCTCCCCCACGCAGGAAGGCTGCGGCACTCTTAACCCATTGCCCATCAGGTGCAGATGACTCTCCCTACCTCTGCTTGCCCCTCACATCTCACTCGCCATGTAGCTGCACCCACCTGGGGAAGGAGGAGGGCAGCAGGGGACTGGGCTGCACCCGGACGGGGAGGCTGCGAGGAGCACCTGGGCAGCCAGGATGCACATGGTGGAGCTGGGAGGGGGGAAGGGATTCACCTCTTAATTTTATATTAACTGCTGATCAATCCAATTAGATCCTGCACGTAATGAAGGCCATCTGCTTGGTAGGGCTGGGCCCAGCACTCCCTCCCCATCCCAAACCATGTGCTGTTATCCTGCGCAGTCCAGGAGTGCTGGCAGGGAAGGGGTCTGGGGATGGGAGGGTGATGAAAGGGGTTTTACCCCATTTTCCAGATGACTCTAATTAAGTTGTTCTCTTCAGCTGTTAAATTAGCTGAAGCACTCCCCCCTTCCCCTCCCTACTCTTCTCAGATGCAGCAAATCAGCTTCCTGCCCCGCCCTGCTCCCCCCCCCCCCCCCCCCGCAGGGCTTTGCAAATAAATAAATAGACAGTCCCAGTAAAATTAACCATATGAGGAGCTGCAAATGAGGTGGAAAATTTTAATGGTTCTGCATTTAAAAGCTGTCTGACAGGAGGTAGGGACCTGAGTGAGCAGAGAGAAAACAGTCCTGGGAGCTGTGTATTGCCCCCCCCCAGGCCCCTCACTCCTTGATTTCCTTTATTCTCTGCTGTCCCGGAGCAGCGCATCTCTGAGCTGGTGTTTGAGATGCTGGGACTGGGGGAGGACCCCCAGTGTGGAGACCAGGCATCTGTGCCCCTGCTGCCCATCCTGCAGCAGCCTCTGGGACACCTCAGGGCCAGGAGACCCTGCACCCCCTGACCCTTTGTGGTGCCAGCAGGTCCTGGCTCAGGTTAACCTGGGCCAAGCCAGGTGGGTCAGGACGAGCGGATGACTGGGGTCGAGGGCCATAAACTCCCCAATTAGCTGGCAGCAAGCCCCCGGGTGAACGGGGTTCCAGGGACGGGTGGTGCCTGCTTCCCTGCTCCATCACCAGGAGCTGCTCCTGCTCCCGGGCACCAGCAGCCCCGACGCGGCTCACTTGGCCAAAGAAGGTGCGAGCCAGAGCCCCCCCAAAGCCGTGGGGGAAGCAGAGCTATATCTCCATGCCCCCACCCCATCACTCCAGCAGAAGCCTGTCCCTGCCAGCACAGCCCCTGTGCGGACCCCTCAATGCATTTATATCTCCTGATTATTCTGCGGGCAGCGGAGGTGGGGAGGGGGGCAGCTGGGCCGGGCCTGGGGGGCTGCGAGAGCACGGGGACCCCTCCCTATGCCCCTGCTAGTGGTCTCCCCAGGGCAGCCCCGGTGGTGGGGTGCTGTAGCCCGGGGCAGGGCTGCGGCACCGGCTTGCACCCCCCGCCCCGGGAGGGGCCGGCAACACTACGACGCCCTCCTGGGGGGCTGGGCTCGGGGGGGGG